GCGGGCGGGCAGGCCGGGGGGAGGGGGCGGTGCGAGACCCCGGCGGGGACTCGGCTGCACCTGGGTACCGCAGGCTGCGGGGTCCCGGGCCATCCCCCGCGTCCCGCCCCGCCTTTTGTATTTCCGAAGCTTACTGCTCTCTCTTTCCTGCGGGACTGGGCAGCGGCACCGCTTTTTGTCCAGCGGGAGGGATTCCGCAGTCCAATTCGGATTCTAGTCCTCCCTACCCCCCACCGGGAGGAGGGGAGAGGGATACTCTGTCCCAGAAAGCTGACAATCATTTGGGGGAAGGGGGAAGGCTGGGCTGGCCGGCATGGAATGATGAGCGCTCCTTCGCACCCCTAAGCCTGCCTTCCCGCGAACCCCAGCCCAGCCTTGCTCAGCTCCTCAGGCTGCCCTTCCCGCCAAACCTTCCAGGTGGGAATTAGGGGCTGGGCCCTGCCCTCAGAAGCTGCCTCCCCCTACTCCGTTGACAGGTCCTAGCAGATGAGCACTGAACACTTTAGAAGACAATGCCCCCTCTCTGTGAGCCCCCCGGTAGGCAAGGCCAGACTCTAAAAAGTAGCCTCTTAGACACCCTCCCCCAGGGTTCCAGAATGTCTTTGGTGACAGAACCTGCCCTGTGGGGCTCGGGGAAAGGCTGGTTTTGATTGGTTGATGCTGATTTTCCCTGCTTCCTAAAGCTGGGCCTAGAGGCAGGAAGGGAGAGAGCCTGGCCTCTTGGAAGGGGCAGTTACTGACAGGTGTTTGGATGTGCTGAGGGTGGAACAGGGCACAGGTAAGTCCCCAGCCTGTCCCCAACTCCAGGGGTGCCCCAGTCCCAGCAGAACCTGACAATGGCGACTGGGGCCTTACTGTCCTTCTGTTTAGGATGGGAGCTAGGTTGAAATGGAGGGAGGAATCCCCAACCTCTCACCCCCCTCTCACTACCAGAAGCAGGAAGTACAGCTCCGTGTCCCCACTCAAAGCTCAGCCCAGCCGAGGAAGAAGGACACCGCTTGCTCACAGCCCCCATGCCATCTCTCTGTCGGGCCCAAGTGCCTGTGAGGTCTTGCAGGGACTACCAGGGAACGAGTGAGAATGAGAGGGAGCTTTACACCCCCATCCTTGGCAGGTCCCCACCCTAGCAGAAGCCAAGCATCCTGTGTGCCACCAGGCATGGGGAAGGAAATGGCCTCTAGATTTCTACTCCATCATGGCCCCCACCATAAAGGGAGAACCTCTACGCCCCCGCCCCCAGCAGTCCTCCTGGAAGGATCTAGAAATTACCAAGGACTAGGTACTAGTGAGCACACTTCCAGGCCGGGCCACATGCGGCTCCTGCACAGCTGGCCTCCCCTGGGGACTGCTGTCCTTGAGCAATAACCAGCCCTGCGCTGGGAGTGCCCAGCTGGTAGGGTTCAGCTGGCCCAGGTGGGGCCCCTTTCAGACAGGCAGTGTTCTCTACTCCAACGTGGGCCATAGCAGTCACTTGGGGTCCCTGCCATGTTTCCACCTCTCCACCCCCCTCTGTGGTGATGCCTCTCCTGTCTGTCTCCCCTCATATACCCCTGACTCCTGCACCCCCAGGCTGAGGGCCCACATTTCACAACCTGTGCGAGGAAGTCTCTTTCCTCGCTCTCACCTGCAATCACTTGAAAGGGTCTGTGGGAAGGGAGATAAAGGGCCCTTTTCTGCATAGACCCTCAGTTCCCACAAACACACTTTTGGGGTGAACATGGTGACTTGGTTAAGTCATTCTTTCTGCCCTGCTAGTGAAGTACTTTATCCACCTGCCGCCTCCCCCGTGTCCCCCCACACACACTAAAAGCCATAGCTAAGCACCCCCTGGCCTTCCCAAGCTCTATAGCAATAGTCCTCTTGCCCCTTCCCCTCTGGGTACCCAGGGTGTCTGGCTGGGAGCCCCCATCACACCCCTGCCCTCAAGACCCTCTGGTGGCCTGCCTGCCTCTCCCCAAGTGACCCCATCAGCACCCTCCCTGTTGCTGTGCCTCTTCCAGCAATCAGAGGTAGTGACACTTAATTGTGTGTGGGTGCTTGGGGAGTCCCCAGATGAAAGGTTCCATGTGCTGGGGTGGCTGACTTGCTGGCTGTCAGTTGGGGAGGCCCATGAAGGAAAGGAAACCATAAGCCCCCAGCAAACAGATGGAGACCTGAGGCAGATCCAGGACTCCAGTTGTCCCCTGAAAGACCCCTCTCCTGGTGGAAGTAGTGGAATGGACACTTACCTGGCTAGGTGTGGAGCCAGATCAGTGCAGAGGAATGGGGTTGGGAGGTGGACTCAGTGGTCTGCCCTAGGAGCTCCCCAGCCTCAGAGCCTGAGAGAGGCCCAGCCCTCAGCTTCCGGTCTTCCCCCACCCCTGCTGGGCCTGGGCCTGGGGGACCTCACAGGCCAAAAGGTAGAGCACCCCTGCAGGAGCACAGGCCCCTGGAGTATCTGGGTGACAAAGAAGGGAACAGATCCTCCCCCTGCTTCTTCCTGAAGCCCCCTGGGAGGGGGTGTTGCTGAGGACCCTTGGTGGGGAGCAGGGGGGGTTGAGGTGGAGCTCCAGCCACACCCCAAGTGTGGACAGACAGGGAAGGAAGTCGGCTGCAGAGGCCTAGCACGGCAGTTCCTGGTTCTGTAAGCCTGCCGAGGGACCAGTTGTCGGTGCAATGTGAGATTTTGTACCCTTGCCCGTAATATCTGACCCGCAATGACCTGGAGTTTGGGGGACCAGACCAAGGCCAAGGTGGGGAAGCCCTTTCCTAAATGAGCAGCGGGATAGAAGCCACACTGATGGAGGGATGTGTGGAACAGTAACTCCTTGGTGCAGAGAACTCCAGGGGCCTCTAAGCACCCACTTTCCCCTGGGGTGCCAGCCTTGAGTCGGGGGTCACACCAGGCTTTGAGGCCACTCAGCAGAAGCCCAGCGGCAGACCAGAAGGACCCTGCTCCAAATTCTTTATTGGCTGCGCTTTTTAATCCAATGCTTTTCAGAGTGTATTCACTCACCCCCAGAAATAGAGCCCTGGGCTTTAGGGGTGACTCTCATATGCCTTATTCATAATAAAACACCTGAAAAACCCAAGCCCAGACCTGTTCTCCGTGCACCCTTCATTTCACTCCACCCCAAAGTCCCACTCCCACAGGTGTGGGAACTCCATGGAAGATTTAGAAGAGGATATGGGAATCTGGCATGGGCGCTCCTTGGAGGCTTGGAAATGTGCGCAAGCCTGTTGCTTGTTCCTGGCCTCCCCCCTCCAGGGCATCTGCCCCCGCTCCAGGTAAACATCTGGTTTAGCACTCTTGGATATTATATATGATGTGTTTTGGAACACCTATCTATGGATTCCCAGGGAGACAGAGAACTTCCTCCTGTAGTCGTGTGTGTGTGTGTGTGTGTGTGTGTGTGTGTGTGTGTGTGTGTGTTCCTGCTTCACCTCTAGCTCTCTGGGGAGCAGAGTAGGACTGCCCAGCCCCGTGAGTGCAGCCAATCAGAATAGTAATTAGGAAGGTAGGGTTGGGGGGGCGGGTATTAAGTTGCCTAATTATGCAGCGAAACCTCAGCCTAGATAAACTTCCCTTCACATCTTTTCACAGAGCCTTGAAGATGGGGGAACCGAGGTGCTCAGCGGCACACAGGCAGCCCTGGGGTCTCTGGCTCTGGAGGTCCTTGCTGGAGGAATCCCGAGAGCCTTCATTAAACCAAAGGTCAAGGGGTGGGAGTTCAGCAAGAGGAACCTGCTAGTAAAAAGGGGACCCGTAGAAGCCAAACTGCAGGAGCTAGGGTCATTGGGATCAGTTAGTCACTAAGCCTGTGGCCGCATACTGGTCACTAGCTTCCACACTGGCTAACAGGCACTCCACAGGCTATGTAGGGAGAGATGGAGAGGAAGGCCCAGGCCTCTGCTAGGCACTCAGTGCAGGCTCTGTGAGCATTGTGGGCATGCACCAAAGCACTGAATACAAAGGTCAAGGCTTATGATACAGAAAGGGGGGGTTCTGCAAGACAAGCTTGGATATGATCCACAATGACGGGTCAAAGGTGAAATTCTGGGCTGTCAGCCCTCCATAGGCCTGCATGGGCACTCCTTGCCCCAAGATCTTCCATTTAACCTGCCAATGTGCATTAAGCATCTGCCATGTACCAAGCTCTGCAGAGATTCTGGAGACACCCAGATAACTCCATTGTGCTTGCCTTCAAGTAAGTCACCAGGTCTAGCAGCTGAACTCACCTGGGAACTAGACATCCCATGGTGGCCAAGGTAGGTCTGGCTTATGCCCATTGTCCCAGTGCTACTCCCACTTTCACTCTCCAAAATGACCTGGTTTGGACACCTTGACATTAGCACCGTGGTACAGACAGTGGTAGGAAGCCTTGGGGAAAGGAAGGCAGGGAGTCATCACTGTGAAGACTGAGGAAGAGACCCTGGTGAAGATCAGAGGTCAGATCACCAGAATGCAGAAAAGATGATCAGAGGATGATCTGAGGGTGTCCAGTTCTCTGCCCTCTGACTTGGTGACCCTCGCCTCACCCCTGACCCCCCAGTGTTAAAACCGAGGTATACTTCTGGTTGTGAATGTTGCTGCCAACATGGAGAAGGATCCCATGTTCAGCTACACTGGACTCTCCAAATTCCTTGAATTGCATGGACACAAATTATGTACCCATCAGTGGAAAAGTCAGTTAATGAGTTATACAACCACACAGTAGACTATTAGTCAGCCATGAAATGGGGTCAGGAAGTTCTCTGTATACTGATCTGAAATAATCTGGCTATATTGTTGAGGGGTGGAGGGAATCTGGTTAAAAAGAATACATACAAATGGGTGCATAAACAAATGTGGCGAAGAAAGCTGATGGTGCC